GCTTATTGGCTGAGAATGTAATTTCATGGTAGAATGTTAGAAAATGACCCCTTGTAATGACAGAATTTACATAAATAAATGCTGATTGCACAAAACAGATAATATGCCGTGGCTATCATCACAATAAGTTGTCTCCTACTGACATAGACTGGAAGTTGGAAGCACACAATTATGCAAATCAGACCAATGCCAGTTGCTCATTACTGTCATGGTGGTAAAGGCAAAAACATATCCTCCATAGACAGCTCGAGGCTGGGCCACAGGCCAAAATGTTTGGTTTTGCTGACATAGTAACTGAGTCAACAAAAATAGGATATCATAGTAATACATCAGTGAGGTCCAAATCAAGGCAAACCTGAGGCTTAATGGACCGTGAATCCTGTGTCTGTGTGAAGTGTCCTTTCTTGGTATTCAGCCATAATATGGCTGCATTCACACTGCAGATTCTATACAGACTGCAGAAGCAATTTTGTTTAGGGCTGAAATGCTACAAGACATTCTATTAGCTTTCCCTAAAGGTGATATGACATTTTAAAATACTTAAACAACATCAATATTAGAGGCTTAAACACTTCAAAGTATTTTGGAATGTTCAAAGTATTTTGGAATACCCACTACCACTGTACCCAGGTCTGCCCTGAATTCTCGTCATAACACTGAAGCTGTTTTCAAACAATAGAAAATTCATTTGTCATGTACATCTTGTTTCTCCTTTTTAAAAAAAATAGAACTTTTATTTCTGAGAGAACAGTTAGCCCTAGGAAAAAGCTAATGGATCTGGGTTTCACACAGATGAATCTAAAACTACGAAAACCATGAAGCAATAATTGCCATCCAGCAGCTATTCCTTCTTCTTCTCTGTGATGGACTAATTCTGTGAACAGCCTTCAGTCTTCACCTGCCCCTGCATCTGCACCTTTTCTGGGAACCAACTGATCACATGAAGAAGTATGTCCTTTGTCCCTTCCTTTTGTGTTTAATCACATGTCTTGCCAACTCAATAGGAGTTGTTATGGAACAAAGGCAGAATTAGATGGGATTCTTTGCAAGCTGCCATGATTATTTAGGCTAACCGGTCTCTGTTTACGAAGGGCATGTCTGGCTTTTTATGTGAGTGGGTCAGAGATACATGAAGAATTGTCTATTAAGACATTAAGACTAATCTAGGAGATCAGCCAGCAACTGCCCACTCTCCAGGCAGCAAAAAGGGGTTCAGGTCTGAACCACATCCCTGATATTAACCTAAACCATCCTATCACAATCTAGAAGGAGCTTAAAACAGTGAGCACCTTCTAGATGATGGTATAAATAGGTTAATAGAGAATTTTCCACAAAGCTTAAAGAGTTTTAAAAATTCAAGAGAGGGGTTAGAGAGATGGTTCAGTAGTTAGTGGCACTTGTTGCTCTTGCAGAGGATCTGAATTCAGCCCCCAGAACCCACATGGCAGCTTAAAAATTCGGTAACTCCAGTTCCAAAGGATCCAGCACTGCATGTTGGCACCCTGCTGCCCCGAAGTGTGCTTGCAGGGCACCTCCGTATACACATGCATTCCTATACATGAAGTAAAGTTCTTCTTGAATTCTAGGGAAATACTCCCTATGAATAACAGAAACTTTACTCATTTGATCACAAGGCAAAATGCAAACCTTCAGAGAGCACAAACCACAGCAGAATGAGGTAACCTGTCAATCTCACTAGAATGGACAGAATTAAAGACACGTGGCAGCAATAAAAGACAGCCAAGACTAGGGAAACTGAACAAGGAAGAGAGCTGCAGACACTGTAGCCATCTTGGAAAAGAGTCTAGCAATGCTCACAATCTTAAACAGCACTTCTCTCAGACATTTGCCCAAGAGACATGCAAACCAAATTCCATGCAAACGCTTGAATGAACGTCCATATGACCATCACTGAAATGGCCCAGAAAAGTAAATGATTCAAATATTGACTAACTGATGAATACATAAATAAAACTTGACATCACCATAAAATTAAGTACCATTCAACAATAGAAAAGAATGGAGAAATGATGTCTGTCACAATATAAAAATCTTGAAGGCATTATTCTAAGTGAAGGAAACTAGTCACCATAGGCCATACTATATGATTACATTTATATAAAATATCCAGAATGGGAAACAGTGAAGGAAAATAAACTGATAATTTCCTTAATCTGTGGAGGGCATGAGAAATCACTGGTAGTAAGCACAAAAAGTTTCTTTTTAGGTAATAAATATGTAACATTAGGCTATTATAATGGTTACACATCTCCCCAAATACACTGCAACTCACTTAATTTTCAGCTTTAAATAGGTAATTTATACATATGAATTATATCTCAATAAAGATATTACAATATTTCTTTGTATCTCTACTTTCCTTCTCTCTTCCTTCTCATCATCGCTCATTACACCTTAGTTTTTCTTTAGTTAGATCACTGGCATATGAATATTGGTTAGTAGAGCTTTATAAGAAAAAAAACAAGCCCTCTCAGTATATCTCCTTTGAAAACTGTATGTTTATTCCCTGCACTTGATACATTAAACAGTGAAAGCATGGGGACCATTTGCCATTTTGTCTCAGGCACTAATATTCACAGAGGACCAGCTCTGTCTCTTCTTTCCATTCTTTCTGTGATATTCACTCTGGCTCCACTTAGTCATGACATTGAACTGTGTAAGGGAAAGGGCACCACTTGTTATATCTTGGTTTGCAAGTCATGGCCAGCTTCCGTGGGTAAACCAGTAATGTCAGGTGATCTAAGGGCTGTTCCCGATTTATCTCTACTGTTTCTTCTCAAGCATCCGACATGAAGATGAATTTGCTTTGTCATATGATCCAGAATAACTAGACATTCTGTCTACTGCCCAGTGTCTTCTGCCATACTTTTCCTTCATTGACTATACCTTCTATTCAGGCCTTTAACATTTTTACCTAGTTACCTCTCTTTGTACATTCGGGGCACTACTGTTGGTATTGCTGTTCCCCAGTCCACTCTGCAAGCTACCTGAGTGTCATTAATATGAAGGGAACATCCTTTCCTCTTCTACCCTTACACACAAAACTCACCCTGACTTTCTGTTGTTCTAGGGAGACTGAAGATCATTGTTGAGGAAGCAGCCTTTATTCTTATTCTCCCAAGTGAGAAGAAACAAAATGAAGTACAGTTACAAACAAGCAGTCAAAGTTGTTTTTGTTTTGTTTTGTTTTGGTCAGTTGACTTTTTTTTCTCATCTTTATCTTTCTTTTTTTTTTGCAAGCAAGCTAGCAAAAGAAAAAGTAAAGTACACTATGCAGGGCTAGAACTCATGGAACTCAGTAGTAAGAGCTGGCTCCAGTCTCTGGACTTATGCAGCTCAGGCTGTTGTTTCTCCCATGCTTCTCAGTGAGGTGGCCCTCTTCCCAGGCAATCTGAAGATTTCCTTGGAAGTTATTTTGACCACAACTCAGTTTGATAGAATTAAATGTACGAAGTGCAAGAATGTGGATGAGGGGTTAAATATCTAAAGCTGATCTGAAGAAATGTCAAAAGCCAACTGCACATGTCTGCTGCACATGAGGGCCTTCTGAGAAGAGCAGCAGAAAGCCAAGATCAGCTCTGTGTTTATTCGGAGCTTCAGGTGGGCAACCTTGTCAGTCATCACACAACCACGGAGGCTGGAGGTAGATATTGCTGGGTGTCTAGTGGATGCTTAAATGTCTGGCAGCTTATTTTCCCCTCTCAAGTTGGTGAGGGATGAATAGCTGAAGTGATCGACTCCAGAGGGAACCTGAGGTTTCCAACCAACCCAAAGCTACTTTCCTCATTCCCATTACCCACCAGAGGACTGCAAAGATTTTCCCCTTGACTTTGAACCACCACTTGGTTTTACAGTCCACTTGTCTGAGGTTTAGAAACCGAGTGTGTCAGCATTTCTTTTTACTGCCTCTCAGTGCAGCAGCAAATGTGTTCGGTTCTCCCCTCTCAAAAGTGAAGATTGTATTTTAAAATCACTCTCTCCCCAAGGGAACCACTCACTCCTAACTCCCTGACAGGCCATGAGGACCTCAAAATTAAGAAACATGTCTAGAAATGTGAGTTTGTACAGAAAGGACTAGAAAACCACCCAGACACGTAATGACTCAGTTATGTGCCTGGCTTCTGTCAGGAAAAATGTGTGTCTGGATTTTCAGGCTCATAATAGACATGTACAGCTAACTGACTTTTATCTTGCCTCTGTCATATTGATCTATCAGTGAATCCATAATAGAAGATAGAGGCCTGGAACACTAAAAAGTAATAACCATTGAGATGGATAGCCCTGGCAAAAATGTAGTTTCATGGGGACACTTAGTGCAAAGAACTGTAGATTCATGTCAAGGGGGCATAAGTATCCCCTTCAAAGCCAACTGTTAAAAACACCTAGTGCACAGTTGACCTGCCTTCAGAATATGATATGTTTCTGTATTGATTTTTCAGAGGTTCAAAACAAGAGGAAATAGCCAAGTGAAAGTTTCTTTGCAGAGCACTAAAAGTAATTTACCTTCTTCCTCTGATTTCTGCTTCAGATTTTGTTTTATGGTTCAAAGTACAAGTGCTTATTTTAAAAATTCATTTCTGACTTATGGTAGAAAGCAGCGCCAGAGACCTAGAAAGTGTAAAGCAAGAAATGAGCCACGAAATGAAACAGAGCAACCCCCCCATCATATTAATAAAGTTAGTACTTGGTCATTATGGGATGTGCTTGTTGTGTAAGACCTCAGATGTCCAGGATTTTCCCATTGTCAGAGTATTGTGAACAATTTGAGGGAATCTGTAAAATGCCCTGCAAGGTGGTTTTGGATTCACCCAGGGTCGATTTATGAAAATTCTTTTGTCTACACTCTCTTACATAAGAAAATTATTAAACATACTTTAAATAGGGTTTTGAGACAGAAGCAAAACTGTTTGCTTTCCAGTTTAAATCAGTGTAGCTTGCACATCCCTCTTGTGGTAAGAACTGAAGCCAGCATGTTGGTGCCTGCCCCTTCTTAGAAGCATTGCAGGTGTGGCTGCTGTGTCCCGTGGGTGTCAGTAGGTGGCAGAGCAGCGAGAGGCTGTGTCTGTGCTCAGTGTTCTGACCTGTGAACTTCTGAATGACTAGTAGCCTAAGATTCCCTGATAAAAGCGAGCCTGAGACTACCATCAGTCCAGTGCCACACCAGCCCTGATGGCTGCCAGGATTGGGAGCAAGATGGAGACTAGATGAACCCCACCTGGAACTGAGGGCCCTCCATGGGAATGAACCCTAATCAGACTACCCTTGCATGGGGCTACTCAGACAGGCCAGGCAAGGAGCTAAGATGAACACCAGACCAGTCCATGGGGCCCAGACAGGTAACTAGCCTGAGACAACCAACAGTCAGGTGCTGTGTAGGGCTGGAGGGCAGACTATGCTTTATTGAACCCCTACCTAGTGCATAATGCATAAGCAGGGTATAGCACTACTGAGACCACTTCTGAGACAACCCCAGACACTCAGAGACACATGGCCCCACTAAGAGGAGCAAGTAGGTGGTGGAGAAATGGAAGAGAAAGAGAAACAGAAATATGTAGGAACAATGAAGAAAGGAAGAACTGTAGACTCAAGGGCAGTGAGAAACAGCTTGATGTGAGTAGCCAGTGAGGCCACCTCAGACCATAGATCAGTCCTGGCCTGTGCTGCCATGGGAACCCATGTGTGGGTCCTTGGCCCTTCAGAAGCAGGGGTCTGTTACCACCAAAGGCCAGGCAGAGGTCCCTGGTCTGGGTTGCCAACAGGGGTATGCTGATGTCTGAGGGCTGTGCAAAATTAGCCCCATCACTCACCTGGGCGTTGTACAAGAACTGGCCCTGGAGGCATGAGAGCAGGAAAGCTGATGCCACCCCTAGCCAGCTTCGGTGTTTGGGAGAGCAGGTCCTACACCTCCCCTAGGCAGCGCAGCAGAGCTAATTCTGATGGCGGGGGGGGGGGCAGATGTGAGTTGGGCACAAGTGTGTGATTGTGGGAGAGCTGGCTCCCACAACTTATCTGCCTTGTACTGATAACCCTTGCCTCAACCCTTTCCACCAGTGGCAGGTAGGTAAGCTGATAGTGCAGTCATCAGAGTGGGAGAGCTGGTGCCCCTCACCTTCTGCAGCACTTGGGAGAGCAGGCTCTACATATTGTCTGTGCAGTAGCAGAGATCTGGCCTAGCGTGTAGAAATTGAGGGGGAACAGTCCCAAAGGGAGAATGTAGGAGAGCTGACCCAGTGAGGTTCTAGTATAGACAGAGTAGCAGAAGCCAGGAGCCTTGTGCCAGACCAATGAGCCATTGCAATGAACATTTGCAAGCAGAGAAGTGTGGACAAAAGAGTATAGGTAGGACACACTGTGCCACACTGCAGCTTCCAGGAGATTTATTTTCTCATTTGTTGGGGGAAGTTGCAAGGGTGGAGTGCAGATGGGGGCCTGATGTGAAATTCACAAAGAACCAATAAAAGAGTCAAAAAAAAAAAAGGATGGTTAATTTTTAAAGCCATGTATAAAAAAAATAAAATAAAAGAACTCAAGTTGGCATCATATTGATAATCTACAGTTCTTAACTAAGTGTCTTCTTTCCCTCAAATATCATGTACTTTATTATTACATGCTTAATGTGGTGTCTAGAGATATGGAAAACTAACCAGTTTATTCTGTATTCAAATTTGGTGTATAGTCATCACATACCTTAATTTTGATGGCTTTAACAAAGTTTCATTCTTTAGAGGTTTGTCACAAAACAGATAACACAAGCAGAAAAACAAATAAAGTGGTACTTTAATAAAGGCACAAAGGATGAAGCACTATTAAGGGGAGGCAAGGAGAGAGGGGTACTGTTCCTGAAGCCCTTCCCTTCTCCAAGGCTGAAGGTAAAATGGGAAGAGAAGGTTAGAGAGTTGTTGAGCTTTGAGTCTGAAGAGGGGGCATCCAGCTGGACCTTGGCCAATGGTAAAGGAGTAGAGACACTTAAAACAAGTCATAACAAGTCGTTCATTCTTCTCTCATTCCCTTCACTTTCCCACCAGTTCCTCTCATTGGCTGAGCCCCAGGGAAAAACAGAGAAAAGAATTCCCAATTCACAATCTCTATCAATGTTCTAGAACAGGGGAAGAAACGAAATTCCCCATGATCTTAAAACACAGCTTGAAAAATGTTCTTTAGTAGGGATTTAAAAGGTCATACTCATTTTAGATTTAAGCTTATGAATCAACATTGTAATTATGGTTCTTCAGTTACAGAGAAAAACAAGACAAAATGAGGTCTGCTGGGTGAGTCCATGCAAGCTAAGGCTAGAGACATGGCTCAAGCTAAGGCTAGAGAGATGGCTCAGCTGGGAAGCTGCAAATACTGCTTTCTGCTGCAGACCACCTGAGTTCAGTTCCTGGCACCTTCGCTTAGCAGCCTACAATCACCTGTAACTCCAGGTCCAGAAGATCCAAACCCTTCTTTTGGCCTCTGCAGGCAGCTTTGCTCACTTTCAAATGCCCCTCCCAGGCATACAATTAAAATAAAAATACATTTTAACATAAAAATACATAGTGTTTTTCATAAATATGATAAATACAATTAAATATGGCATACTTTGATTTTGCTAAGAGTTTTACAACTTTTAGATGTATAAATTCAGGTAACAATGTCTGTAAGCATCGTAGAAACTGTGGCTCAATACCCCACGGATTTCAACTAAGTAAAATTAGACCAAGCACCAAGCACGGGGTAGAGGATGGGGTGAGCATCTGTCAATCTCTGCCTCTCAATAAAGCCAACATTACAATAAATGCTGTGAAAACATTTCCAGGAGGAAAAAAAGATAATCTCTTCCTCAAAACCTCCAATTCTCCCTGTCCATTTTGGTTTTAGCTCAGATTTTGGAAATATGCTCTATCCTTTATGAGAAAGACAATAAGAAAGTGGAATTTTCTTTAAAGGCATTTGATCACAAAGGGCATTTTAAAATAATGTATTATAACTGCAAAAAAACTCAGTTATATGTTTTCCAGAAAAGGATTAAAATATTTATAAACCATAGGTTATATTTTAAAAACCATTAAAGAGGCTATTTATTGTAAACCCATAAGTCATAATCCATTAAATATGGGCTATGTTTTGTGTGTGCGTGTGTTGTGATTTTTTTTCATGAATGTTTTTACTGTGGCTTCCATAATCAACTGGTCTGTGTTGAGAGTTGGCAATGTCTCAGGATCTCACTTAAATATGCAAATTTATATATTTTCATTCAGAAAATGATTCCATTTGCAGGAAATTGTGCATTCTATGCAGAATCCAGTTCTCATGCTACACAAACTTCCACTGTCTCAGAGAAAACATAACAGTTACTTCCCTACATAAGTGTCTGTCTATCCACTACTCATCTCTATTTATATCCAAATTTGCAATAATTCCAGTGTGAAAAGTTACCAACTGACAGAATATTCTCTGCAAGTTTCTAGCCACTGAAGAAATGTTTGCAGTTTTCCAGTCCATAAGTCCACGTGCAGCTAACACAATGTGCTCCCACCTTTGCTTGCCTGGACTGCTGCTTGCTTGCTTTTCTTTCTTTCTTTATTTTTTCTGTATTTATTTTTGCCTTCACGCTATCTCAACAAAGGCAACTTTTAAAAGTTTGACTGTTTCAGAAACAGACTCAAATGGCAAGAGTTGTTCTGTTTTTTAAAGTACAGAGGAGATAAAAGTCTATATGGTGACAACTTTCAAGGTCTGTTGGCTTTTTAGTTCCATTAGAACATGATTTTAATATAATCCACAAGTTGGCTGTAAAGCATGCCAGCTGTAGAGTAGGAAGCATATAGTGTGAAGGACTCATTTCAATATATGGCCACATAGACACATGCATATACGCATGCATGGGCGCGCACACACACACACACACACACACACACACGCACACACTCCATAGCACACACGTACTGGACTGGAACGAGACTGTTAGGTTAAGAACTGGAAATTTTACTCAGTGGTTAAGAGCACTGGCTGCTTGCTCATCCAGAGAACTCTGGGTTAGAACTCAGCGTCCACATGGTAGCTTGCAACCTTCTGTAACTTCAGTTCCGAGGGATCCCAAACACTCTCTTCTGGCCTCTGCAGGCACAGAATGCAGGTGGTGCAAATATACTCAGACACACACACACACACACACACACACACACACACACACACAAATGAATAATTTTACTTAAAAAACTGTAATGATAGAAGATAGGATTCCAAATAAGAAAATTCTTTGAATCTATATCTAGCCTTTTTGAGCTATGATATTAAACTAATTTACCCTTTTTCTGAATCTCAGATATGCCACTTTCTCCAAGCTGCCTTTCACATTCCATGCTTAGTTTAACCTTTGGTGTGCCCCTCTAAATCACTGTACTGATAACCTATAAGACAGTGAAATGCCAGTGTTTTTGTTTTTTGTTGTTGTTTAACAACTAGGTGAAAATTCTTTGGAGAACCAGGATAGCCACTTGGTATTGTTGCATTTCTAAAACTTTAGGCTGTGTACTATGCAGCAGAATTTGAGAGAGGATTATGAATGAATGAATCCTGGGCTCTCTCAGCCAAACAGGTGACTCCTAGCCTCACTTAATCTTTTAGCATTCCATAAATTAAATAAGGAAACATAAAGCACAGAAGATCTTAGTCTCCTGCCTGAGTAAACAAGAGAGACTCGGAGTAAAAACCAAGTTCAAAGCTGTCTGATTTAGACAGTCTCTTTCCTCTCACGTCCCTTTTGCAGCTGGGGCTCCAGGCCCCTTTCTCATAGAAACACTGTCCATCCCGTAGGGCTGGCGGAAAGAACAAGAGACCCCATGTCGTTAGTAAGTGCAGAATGTAATAGAAACGTCTGGTGTCTTTACTTTTAAGGAGGAAAACATCTTTAAGTGGCAAAAAGGAAGTGACTCCTACTTAATTACCTAGGACTCCTCCCCTTCCCCTAATCTGAAGTTCCCCTTAGAGCAGTGGCTGTACAAATTCACCTTAAGCTCATTGCCCCCATGAGCGTGAGGAGCACAGTTGTTGTCCTAGCCATCTCCTATGCTGACACTGACAGGGAAAGTAGAGTCCCAGCGGATAACGAAAAGAACAAGAGTGAGAGGCTG